TTATGTATACTCACTCATGTCATATATTCACACCTGATTCATCGCTAGCTTATATAGTCATGTTCATCATATATTTTGTATAAAATTAGTTGTATTATTTATTATTTCTTGTTTTGTTGAGAACCGTTAGTAGTTCATGTCCTTTTTGTATAAAATTAGTTGTATTATTTATTATTTCTTGTTTTGTTGAGAACCGTTAGTAGTTCATGTCCTTAGTTGCCTAGCGTGTCGTGTACAAGACCTAGATACTTGTGTATTGTTGACTTAGAAAACGAAAAGAGTTGGGATGAGGAATTCTTGGTTCATGTGATCGGATGAGGGTGTTTATGTATTTCCAGGCTCGCACCAACGATATTCCTGTGTAGCGTTGGGGTGGGTCTGAGAAGATGTGATATTATGATTGTTGATTATTTCCAGGCTCGCACCAACTATATTCTTGTGTAGCGTTGGGGTGGGTCTGAGGAGATGTGATATTGTGATTGTTGATTATTTCCAGGCTCGCACCAACGATATTCCTGTGTAGCATTGGGGTGGGTCTGAGGTGTAGTGATATGTGATTGCTGATTATTTTCAGGCTCGCACCAACGATATTCCTGTGTAGCGCTGGAGTAGGTCTGAGGGGGGCAGTGAACCGTTATGTGTGGATGATTTGTGAACAACCGGTTATTCGTGAATATGAGTTTTGACTATATGTGAGAGGTAGACCAGTGACTTGTTATAGGATGGTTAGCTACATGACTTTGTTGTTTGAATGTTTATGGGTTCTCATGAGATGTGAACCAATTATATTTCTTTCCATACCTAGATTAGGATTAATATTTAATTATCTACAATTTAAGACATATGGTATATACATGAGGGTTTTCTTGTTTGGATTATTTCGCTCGACGTACTACGTCTCGAGTTGTAGATTTTTAAGTATTAATTTTATCTAGGGGTATGTCCTTGTTACTCGGATGATTATGGATTCTTATGATCGTTATACTCTAGTGATGGATTGTATCTAGCTCGTTAGTATTCCAGCTGCATGTTTCTATTTATTATTATTGTTATTGCATTGGTCATTCGACCATTCCTATTCTCTTTGTGGGATCTTGTCGTGTGCCATGCACCCTGACGTACACCTGTTTTCTCTGGTGTACATCAGATTTAGGAGACGGACAGCCTCAGTTCGGCATCGTGCAAGAGCCAGAAGATTCTCAGCAGGGACACCTTGCAGGTGGAGTAGAAGAACAAGCTGAAGCCCAGTAGTTTTCTTCTGTAGTAGCTGATGAACATTAAAACCCTTTTTTTCGTACTTTTCTTTAGTTGATGATGGATTTAGTATTATAACAGTACTTTTTTTATAGACTATGTATTTCTTATTTTCTAGTTGGACTGTTTTGTAGTAAGGGTATGTTGGACCCATATTTTTTATGTCTGGGATGATTAACTATTGATGATATGTCTATTTCTTTTCTGGATTGTCTTTATATTCTTGCTATTGTGATCGGGGACCTGTGACTGAGATTTATGTATTTGACGCTGAGCGTATTGGATTGAGAAGAAAAGAAGAAGAAAATGATAGTGTATATTTCTTCTCAATCTAATATGTCGCGTGCTTGTTCACGTTTCAATTCCCGGGTATTTTAGGAAGCGGGGCGTGACACTTTGCATTAATTTGCATTAATGTATATAGCTTACTAGGATATCAAAAAATTGAGAACATTTCTTAAATAATCTGAATCCATGTAAACATATAAAGATAAGTCAATTATTATAAGTATTTTTACTCTAAGATATGTCTTTCAAAATTTAACCTTGTTCCAAGATTATGGCACAGAAACAACACAAAGTTAATAAAGTACACTAATTCAAAACTTACCAGGGTTGATCACTAAAACGCAATTTTTTCCTCAAAATAAATTTCACCCTGATCAAGCTTTCATTAAACTCATGCATGCAATTCTTTCCTTGCTATAATTTTCTTGCAAAGTTTACCCCTCTTATACCCATTTGAGCAGCAGTTAAGAAGGAAGATCTCTACTGCCTAAAATTTACTGTCAAGCAATTCCATGCCTTTAGTATGAAGAAAAGACACAAAAGAGAGTTAAGACTTCAAATTGGACTAACAATGCTCATTTCAAGCAAGAATTTTAATTAAGAAACTTATAGACAATTTATATATATTTCCAATTTTTATTTACAGATTTCAACAAATTAGTGCATCCATTCAATATGATTCTAAGAGAGAAAAAACATCGACCTATAACATTAAACTCATAAATTAGTGCATCAATACTTTATACTTTCTTTTTATACCAACTCCTCATTGTTCAACGAGAACTTTCTATTTACAGATTAATTTATACTTTAGACTTAAAAAACATTCAAAGCTTTTTACTGTTATAATTCATCGTTCTAGAAAAGGAACTCCATAATGCAAATTTAAAACCTAAGCATCATAAGTCAGTTAAATAGACATAAGATACAATCACTTCTTCCCAGTTAAATTGGAGTTACAGAAGAAAACTAAACAAATATCAAGCCAAATTTAATTGACCAGATAACTATATCTCATTTCATTTATTCACATCTTACTGCAGTAACCAATTCCTTTTTGTGTAAATCAGTCAGACACACTGAATAAATAACCAGATAACATGAATTAGACTCACCAATATCTAATAGAAAACAACAACTTTTCCATGTTAAAAACTCAAAATGCTAACCTATTCACAAAAATAAAACAAAATTCATTCATTCATATTCATTCACATAAATTAGGAAACACATAAAAAGCATGATGAAGAAATAGCTAAAATTTCACAATGAAACTGAACCGGATTTTTAGGAGATAAGATAGGTCAACCAAATTTAATGAATCTAGCATGAAATTAAGCATAAAAAATACCCAAAAAAATAGGGAAACAATAGATTAACAAAATTTCATGGTTTTGATATCAAATTATTCATCAACTATTCGACGAAAGGGAATATCATGGAGAAATTATACCTATAATTGCCGAAATCCAACAAATCAAGCAAAATCCGATGAAATCCCTCAAGGAAGGCAGTGAATCACAAATTAATATGGACATGCAGACTCAAAAAGTACACAAATTAATTGCAAAAATGTTTTTTTACCTTTCCAGTGAGAAAAATCAAATAATCACGGCAGATCTAAACTAAAAATCAAAGAATCATGGAGAAATTATACCTGTAATTGCCGAAATCCAACAAATCAAGCAAAATCCGTCGAAATCCTTCAAGGAAGGCAGTGAATCACAAATTAATATGGACATGCAGACTCAAAAAGTACACAAATTAATTACAAAACGGTTTTTTTACCTTTCCAGTGAGAAAAAAAATCAAAGAATCACGGCATATCTAAACTAAAAATCAAAGAATCATGGAGAAATTATACCTGTAATTGCCGAAATCCAAAAAATCAAGCAAAATCCGACGAAATCCCTCAAGGAAGGCAGTGAATCACAAATTAATATGGACATGCAGACTCAAAAAGTACACAAATTAATTACAAAACGGTTTTTTTACCTTTCCAGTGAGAAAAAAAATCAAAGAATCACGGCATATCTAAACTAAAAATCAAAGAATCATGGAGAAATTATACCTGTAATTGCCGAAATCCAACAAATCAAGCAAAATCCGACGAAATCCCTCAAGGAAGGCAGTGAATCACAAATTAATATGGACATGCAGACTCAAAAAGTACACAAAGAAGGCAGTGAATCACAAATTAATATGGACATGCAGACTCAAAAAGTACACAAATTAATTGCAAAAGTGGTTTTTTTACATTTCCAGTGAGGAAAATCAAAGAATCACGATAGATCTAAACTAAAAATCAAAGAATCATCGAGAAATTATACCTGTAATTGCCGAAATCCAACAAATCAAGCAAAATCCGACGAAATCCCTCAAGGAAGGTAGTGAATCACAAATTAATATGGACATGCAGACTCAAAAAGTACACAAATTAATTGCAAAAGGGTTTTTTACCTTTCCAGTGAGAAAAATCAAAGAATCACGGCAGATCTACAGAGATCAATGGAAGTGGGCATCGTCGAAGAGGGGGGAGAACGTCGTCGCGGGGAGGGAGGAGGGCGTCGTCGGAGCGGAACGGGGACAAGGGAGTCGTCAGAGTGGGACGAGGGCGTCGTCAGAGCGGAAGGAGGGCGTCGTCGCGGCTAGGAAGAGCACAGGTCGTCGATGTGGACTTGGGTTGGGGAGTTCGGCTGCCAATTGCCAGATCTAGGGTTTATGAGATGTGAGAAACATATTTATATGTGGTCGTGAGATGCTCGGAACAAATCTCAACCGTTGGTTGATGATCCAAAGGATATGTGAAGCCCTAGCTCACTTAACAATGTATATTTATATATGGGTAGAAGTTGTAATGAAAATTTTGATAAATTGCATAGAAATTTCAACTTAAAAGAGCATTTGTAAATATAAAGACTTACTTTCTTTTGTAGAACAACAAGAAAAATGACAAATGAAAAAAAATAGATAATAGCAAGACCAATTTAAGCTACTTTACTTTTCCAAAATAACACTCCCTCGAGATACAAAATAAATTGACCTCTTCAATAGTAATTGGCTACAAAATTTTGCCTTTGACAAAACTTTGGAAAGAAATATTTAACTAATTTAGTAATATATTAAATTGGTGATTCTTAATCTAGGAAATTTAGAGTTGGCATTATATATTCTTTAGACCAAGAATGTATAAACATCATATGACAATATTTTTGGTAACATATATTTTTATATGAATTATGATTTTTAATTTTAAGTGTATAATAATAAAATCAAATGTATTAAAATTTAGAGAGACGTAAATTTAAAATATAATGATAAAAAAACTAGTTTCCGTGCTTTGCACGGGGTACATACTAGTTAGTGCAAAATGGAAAAGACTGTAAGGTATCTAAGATAATAAAAGGGATCTGAGTGCAAAAATCCGCATTATGTTGTCTGGTTGCAGCACCACTTGCGTCGTCACCGCCGACAAGCAAACCCCGATCCGTGAAGAGCATCAGAAGCGAAAAACAGAAAGGAAGAGAGGAGGAGGAGGAGGAGGAGGAGGAGGGGGAAAGAAAGAAAGAAAGAAAGAAAGGAAAAAAAAAAAACACCAAATCAAAATTCAGTAGAGCATCAGATGCGAAAGATCCAAAAGGTCAGCGAACATTTCTTTCTCTCGAAACCCTAGCCCCCCCTTTCAAATCTCTCCTCTCAAAACCCTAGATCTCACTACTATCCTTTTTTTTTCTTGGATCGATCCAGCTCCGACTGATTTCGGCATTTCTTGATTGTAAAGATTCTTGAAAAGATCGAAACTTTTCTAATGGGGAAACCCCTAATCTACGAAATCTTGGAGAAGCCTGCTACCAGTTGCATCATAGGGCTCTGCACTGCGATTTGGTTCTACATCCAAAAGAAAAACATTGGGTATTCTAACGTCGGATTGAGCTACGATGCAGCCATCGAGGGCCACCATTGGAGGCTAATAACCTCGGCGTTCTCGCATGTAAGTGTCCTCCATCTGGTCTTCAACATGAGTGCTCTGTGGAGCCTTGGGGTTGTTGAGCAATTGGGTCACATGGGTCTCGGCGTGGAGTGCTATCTCCAGTATACTCTTGTTCTGATAGTGTTGTCGGGGGTCTTGGTTATTGCGGTTTATCATGTCTTGATTCAGAAATTTAAGGTGGAGTATTTCAGAAGAGTCACAGCGGCCGGGTATTCTTGCGTCGTGTTCGGATGGATGACGATCCTTGCGGTGAAGCAGCCTTCGTCGAAGTTGAGTCTGTTTGGGGTTCTTTCGTTGCCGATCAGCTTTGCGCCCTTTGAGTCGTTGATATTCACGTCGATAATTGTTCCGCAGGCGAGCTTCGTCGGGCATCTGTCTGGGATTGTGGTTGGTTATTCTATTGCTTGGGGTTTGATTCATGGGATGAACAATTATTGGGCGATTATGATGCTTGGTTGGGTCGTGCTTGTGTTTGTGTTGAGCTTGAAGCGGTCTGGAGCTCTTGACCTCTCTTTTATTGAGATAGAGAACGTGACGGATTCTTCACTGCCTACCGTGGGTTTTGTTGGAAACGGTAGAACTTTGCAGATGGCTGTACTGCCTCGCACAGGAGCTGAACTCGTGTAATTTTCAGATGACAGTAAATTTTGTTGATAAGATCGTATGTTGGGTTATACCGGTTATTCTTCTCATTACATTTCGGCGCCGTTGTATATTTTGGCTTTGGTAGCTATTGCTGCAAAACTCTGGGAGGATCTCCATCACTGTAAGTATCAAGTCTAATCAGAACATACAATTTGAAGATCAGATAACATTTATGTACCAACGGATCTGTGTTCTAGTTGAATGTAGCTGTATGACATGGCATTTGGATTTCCTTTGCTTACCAATTTTGTTACGCTACCAAAGATGAGTGCTAGTTTGTTAATCGTGATTGAATAATAGAAGAAAATTCTGGTTTTGCTGGTACATACATTTTGAAGAACATTGATTCTACATGTAATATGATTGTCATTTGGTAAATTCTTGCATCTTTTTGTTCATCGTTGTATACCACAGCCCGTGTATCACACCCCAGCACAATGTGTACGAGAGCCCCTGTATCACACCCCAAAAACCTGATAACGAGAATAAATAAATTTCAGCGGATAGAACAGTGACTACTTAAAGCTTACTTTCCGAAAATTGGCTAATGTTTCTAATTGTGTGTGTATTCTAGTTATGAATTGGTTACATTAAGAGATGAAATTAATTGTTTTTGGGCAAGCATAGGATACGTTTGTTGCGAGAAAGCTGGTTTATGATGACGAATAAAGATCCAAGACTTAAAGACGTAATTAGCAATGGATAAAGTATAATGACAGAGAGCTTAACTTCTGTCTGTACCTTGACTTCCTTTGACCATCTCTACCTAAGATGTATTATTTTATTCATTCACTCAATTTTATATTCCACACATGGAAACCATGCGTATAAGTGTTCTGCTTTTTTTCACTTTTTGGTTTGGTTGACAACAAAAATGGGACATGACTTGGAGGGATGAAACGGAGAACATGGAAAAAAAAAATAGAAAATTGGGATGAGGAAATGGAAGGAAAGAATGTCCATGCTTCATTAACCTATTACAAATATTTCCTTATAATAGACAATGTCAGCTATTAGCTAGTCGCTCCTTTGTCTATTTTGTCCAAAAGGTTTTAGCTATTACAGAACTATTACTCTTTCAGCAACCTAGAAGGTATTTAAATAAAAACATTCATGTTATACCTGAAATACCTTTGCTCTTAAAGTACATCTGTACAAATTGGTATTACCCATAGTTGTTTTATGTTTTGCTTCTACCTTTCTTTGGTTATTTATAATGTGCCTTCACTTGCATAGACAATGTACCACATATACTAATTAGTATTAACATATACCGTTTATATGTATCTAAATTTGTATAAAGTCCCACATTCAAAGCGAAGGAACCAAGATTTCCTTTTTTTATAAAAATGACTACAGTAGTCTAGCTTTGAAAAGAAGTACATGTATATATCTACATGAGGACAGTCACAGCAACATTCTGAGTTTGTTTTCTTATAAATGGTTAATTGTTTCACTGCAAACCATTGTTTGCAACTGGAAGTCATGTTTTAGAAAGGTGTTTTTTGTTACAAAATGTATGAAGTTCTGTTGCCTTATTTTTCTCTTCCTTTTTGAGAAACTTCTCTGCATGCTGGTTTGCAAACCCAGCACAGTTATTTGGACGCGATTATTCGGTCATTGATTAAATTGTTGAAATGTCAATTCGTATTCATCGTTCAACATCTTTTTTGGTTCTCATTTACTTAAGAACGCACCAGCCCTACTGCTATCGGAATTATGAATTAACAAAGAGGAGCAAGTATAGTCGCATATGCAGTTGCAGTTTTACACCGAAAACAAACAACTTGTAGGCACACAACCAACTCTGAATCAATCTTTACTCTGCTTATATTTATCATCGTTCGTCAGTGGTTAACATTATGTTAGGTTGTCTTAAATATGGAAAGAAACCTTATTTATTTCAAGCAGTGTTTCAACCAACCTCAAGAAAACATATAGAGTTGCCACATGTCTTTCACATCAACGAAATTCTAGAATTAAGTGGGAAGATACTGTGTGAAAATACTTTTTCCATCAGGTACCAATCAAATAGGAGGGAAAAAAATTCTCAAGAAAATTTTGCCCCATGCACTAAGAGGAAAGTAAAAGATGATTCAGTTATGTAAGGGTGTTCATTATGGTGAGTCACAAAATTTGATGCCTAAAGATTTTTGCGGAACCCATGTTTTTGGAGAAAGCAAGTAAATTGGAAACAAGCCAGTACTCTCCTTTCGGTGTCTGATTTTATGATGACCGGCTATTCAACATAAGTACAAAACAGTCGATGACAGGCCAGAGAAACTTGCAACTATTTCCTATTGGAGCTTACCTTGTGTTCTTCGGTTTGTTCCTCGTCATATGCGCACCTATATTATGTGCTCGAGTTTTTTTTATTGCAGAACCCTCTTGAGTTAATGTGATTGAAATTGTGGCGTTCTTTTGGTTGAGAATTTTGGGATGTTTGATTTATTTCAAACTATGCTATTGCTTTGAGATAATTAATTTTATAATTGAATTCAGATTCTTGTTTGGTTGTATGTATTTGTGATGTTGGCTGCTGCCACATGTGTAATGGAGCAGTGCGCAAATTCTACGACCATGAGTAAAGCGTGGAATTGAAACTTCACATTCTGCGTGTGGCTGCTCCAGTCTCAGTAGATTATCTAGAACTGCACCCGTAACTCCAATGCGAAATTGGTAAAGCGGAAAAATCCAAGTATTAGGATTTGGAAGGATTTCCTGATATAAACTACATTGGTTTCTTTTTTTTTTCCCTATATGTTTGAATTTCTTTTCCTTGTTTGTAGTCTTTATTATGCCCAGGTTCTCGTCTTTGGTCCTGATCATGAATTTTTATGTTTTTCATTTTGATTCTATCCAGTACTGTCAAGCCCTGCAACTTCACTATGAAATATACCTTGTGTCGCTAAATAACTGCTTTAAATCATGTTTATACCTTTCAACAATGCAGTGTAACCTTCTGTAGAAAGCTTGGTCCTTATGTCGAGTATATTTACAGATGCTCGGGCGGAGAAATCATTACGGCCCCGTTTGTTAAGTAAAAAGGGTTAAAGAGAATGATTAATGTACTTAGTCCATTCGATAATCTGAAGGATTAAATTATTAACCTGTTAAATAAGTTTTATTTTAGCTCTTGTGATCAATTTTAGTGTTTGGGAATAACAATGATTTTGACTATTTTCTTTATAATTAGAAGGGTTAACTCTTAATCCTTCTAAATAGGAGTATTAGTAAACCCCTCATTTTTAGGGATTAACTCATTTTAATCCCTCTAGAGGGGTTAGCTTAACCCTTCTATATATTTTATGTTTGACAAATTATGAAGGGTTAACTCACTTTAACTATTGTATACATTTTTTGTTTTGTTTGATGGGTTAAGAAAGGGTTAAGTCTCCTTAACGGCTTAACCCCCCACTTAACCCTTTGCCAAACGGTACCTACGAGTCTTTATCCTAAGCAGAAACTGTTAATTACACGGGACATGCGTGTTCTTCTTTTATCAGATGCGATAGATTCCTATCTTCTGTCCATAAGATATCATCATTTTTGTCGGTCTTTGCGGTCACCAATTTTAGCGAGAGAGAGGGAGAAGATACGAACACGAGGATTAGTAGCAACATAAATCATCGTAAAATGTTCTGAACTGAATAAAAAAGATGAACTACTTCTGAACTGAATGGCATCAGGACGCACTTGGCGATAGAATTCATCATTGTTGGTTGGTCCATTGGGCATCGTCTGATCACCAGCTGCTTTCAACCGTTGAACCTCCTATCCTCTTGCAGAGGCATCATCTGGAGCTATGTGCAGACCAAGATACACTAGTAGAAAATTGAGTATTGGCGACGGGGTATTGGCGACGGATTTGAAATCCGTCGCCAATACAAACATTGGCGACGGAACATTGGCGACGGGGTTGTTCCCGACACCAATGTTTGTATTGGCGACAGATTTCAATCCGTCGCCAATGTTTTCCGTCGCCCATAACCTTTGGCGACGGGAAAACATTGGTGACGGATTAGATCCGTCGCCAACAAGTATTGGCGACGGATTATATCCGTCGCCAATGTTCCGTCGGCAATACTTATTAGCGACAGATTCTATCCGTCGCCAATAAGTATTGGCGACGGAAATGATGCGTCGCCAATACATATTAGCGACGGAATTGATCCGTCACCAATGTTTCGTCGCCAATATTTATTGGCGACGGATCGAATTCGTCGCCAATAATTATTGGCGACGAATTGAATCTGTCGCCAATAAGTATTGGCGACGAATTCTATCCGTCGCCAATACTTATTAGCGACAGATTCTATCAGTCGCCAATAAGTATTAGCGACAAAAATGATGCGTCACCAATATGTATTAGCGACGGAATTGATCCGTCACCAATGTTCCGTCGCCAATACTTATTGGCGACGGATCGAATTCGTCGCCAATAAGTATTGGCGACGGATCGAATCTATCGCCAATAAGTATTGGCGACGAATGTGATCCGTCACCAATGTTTCGTCACCAATACTTATTAGCGACAGATTCGATCCGTCGCCAATACACATTGGCGACGAATTCGATCCGTCGCCAATAAGTATTGGCGACGGATTCGAGTCGTCGCCAATGTTCCGTCGCCAATACTTATTGGCGACGGATTCGAATACGTTGCCAATACTTATTGGCGACGAATCAAATTTGTCACCAATGTCCGTCGCCATCGTAAAAAATTAACATTAGTGATTGATTATCCCATTGTTAATGAGAGGCCCTACAAAAAATTAAGAATTATTTTAATATTAGTCCCTCAAATCTATAATATTTTAAATGTAGTCCAATACTATTTTGTTCCACGCAGGTAGATGATAGCTTGAGAGCTGAGGACGTGGAAGTCTACTATGATCCAGGACAGTTGTTTGGTGGCCTTCTCAAGGGCCCCCTGCTCCCCTCTAGCGTCGTCGTCGAGGAGGCTGTAGCCGCAACTTTGTCGCTGGAGGCATGTCCCTTCTTTAGGGAGAAGTGATATATGCTTCCTGAATTTGAATTTGCTTGTAGAACAAATCTAGTAGTTTTCTCGTTAATAAATGAATGTAATTAGTGGAAATACCTCTTGCTTGTTTAAAAATTAGTGGAATTAATGAGCAATATAAGAGGGTAGTTTTCTAGTCATATTTTTATACTTTCAAGAAAACCAATCTAAAGATAACCACTAACAGGTAGAAAACTGAGCATTGACGACGGGGTATTGGCGACAGATTTGAAATCCATCGCCAATACAAACATTTACGATGGAAAGATACATATGTTATCAGATTCTTATTGTTAGACCCTAGGGGGGGGTTGATTAGGGTCTTATGCTAATCT